GACCTTTCTCCTTTTTCACAACGACTTACCGTTCACACAATTTTGGTCATTTTCGAATTCCTTCATTAGCAAATTATTTTTTAACCAGATGCTGGATTGGTAGAGTTAGCATCAAATCTCTTGCTTGTTGGTGATATAGTTATCCTTGCAGCCATTATTCCTAAACTTCTCATCACGTCTATAAAGGCATTCGCCTTGTCGGATCTAACTCGCATGAAGGATTCAGCCAGAACAATACAAATCATGTCTCAGCTCTATTCAAAGAAAAAGACGGAAGTTGTAAGCACCAAACAAACCCTACGAACACACTCCAACCATTTGGAAGGGGTAAGGGACAAAAAAAGGGGCTGGAAGCATTCCGCTACTACATAAAGTTTAATGGGTAACAGAAGAGCGATTTCCAATTTCTAAGGTTTGTCCACCCTTCCTCAAAAACTTGCCTTTTTACCTCCACCTCGACTTCTTTGAAACACTCAAGATGGGCTTTACCGGAAATACATGATCAGGCAGACCGTCACAGTGGACACATAAGAGAGACTGGGGAAATTTCAATTCCAAATTTAGGTGGATCACATGGTTGAAGGCTTTGTCTTATAAACCTGTGTGCCCATCCAGTTACAAGTGTGTTCAATGTAGATGATCTTGTGGTTTGGCCTCTTTTACCCTAATTCAGAGATTAAAAACTCATGGAGGTGATGATGAATGCCTTTGCGATGACTCACCTTAAGAACGGAGAAGTCCAGCCAGCCAGGTGATCCTGGGTCATGACAGACTAAACACCTGAGCTGTTGGACGGTCCTTTTTATCACTTGGGTTGGGGAGAGGAGGGAGACAATAACAACACCTTAGCTACTCTCGATTTGTGAAATCAAAGGGAACGAGCGAGAGAGGGAGAGACCGAGTGGTAATAACTCGCTGTCCGGTCTCTAATTAGCACAGTGTGAATGAAATAAGAAAACTAACCCCAAATAATGGCATTTCTTGAACATCACAGAGGAGGGTTTTCACTGCAAACAGATCAACACCAAATTGCTGCAAAATTCTTAATGCCTACAGAGCGAAGGTGATCCCTCTACGCCTCGTATCAGAGCGATGTAGAGATGACCACCAATGGAAGGTGATTGTAGTCGCCAAACATTGATGATGCAAAAAGGCAAAGGAACTGTTAACGTTTTCTTGAGCTTGCTAACATCAATTGAAGCCTTTAATGTCTATTGTAGGGATGATGCCTACTGAGTACGGACACCATTCATTTCCAAGACTGCAGGTAGACGTACAACGGGGTGCAACGCGTTGTAAACGAAAGTACACAACTCCACCTCTGTGACATTTTCGCCCACCTACGCATGACTTCTGCACTAATGACAAAGCAGTTGACCACAGTCGCTCAACAGCGTTGGCATTTACTTCAATATTTTTGAAGGCAAGCTTCGCAAATATTACCGTACTTCTGGTCCGCCAAGCAGTGGAACGTTTGGTGCATACCCATCAATACAACCTCACCAAGGCAAGGGTAAATCTCTACGTGGAAGTGGTGGAACCCGTGGAACACAACGCAATCAAGACAATGTCGAGAAGACTGGGACATTCGAGTTGTGGACTGATGCAGAAGTAGAAGACATTGTTCTGGTATGGAAAAGCCGGATTTCATGGAGCGGGTCATTACAAGTGGGAAATTCTCAAAACCCCAACTTCATCCTCAACCACAAGGACATCAAAGCAATGCAGACACACACTGCGGACGCGACTTCGATGACAAAGTGAAACAACTTTCCTCCTCCTGCTCCTCCTCCGCCTCCCTCCTTCTCCACCCAGATGGTTCTGCTTCACTGGATGGGGCAGCTAAGCGGACAAACTGACGCATTTGCAAAGCTTTCCCCCTCTTTTAATGGGACCGGAAGAGCTTCATATTGATATGAATAGCACTTAT